GGCCAAGTCATCCTCTTCTTCCTCTTGAAGTCCTTCCTGGTTCTGCATGTTTTGTACTGGTGCTTGATCTTCCATTGGATCTGGTTGTGGACCTTGTTGTTGGTCTTGCATGTGCTGTGGAGTCCACTGTGTGAAGAAGGGGTTTAGAAGCATCATGTCCTCCGGTACAAAGTAGGGGAGGTTGATTGGTGGATTCTGTGGGAGCTGTTGGTTGGAGTTGTGAGGTATGTTCCACATTTGTTGCATGGTGTGTACTAGATTTTGGTTCAAGGAGGGTGCTAGAGGTTGGAGAATATTGCTCATCCACATTTGATTAATATAGTTGTTCATTACTAGGCTCATCCCTTCTGAGATTAGTTGTGCAAGGAAGTATGTGATTTGAATTATTAGGATTGACTCCTGATCGTTGATTTCCATATTGAAGGAGATTGCATGCCCTTCGAGACCCAACTCCACCCATGATTGAGGTACCTGGTTGGGTGGACTCGAGGGTTGGGCATATATTACTGGATTTGGGGGAAATTAAGGAGGAAGTGGTGGTAGGTTGTTCATCCTTTGGTTCCTTGAGAGATGAATTAGTTGGATCAACCGATATATCCTTCTCAAGGTAAGTGGAGGTCTTGCCATTGTTAGTATGCTCGGGTAATATAGGAGGGATAAAATCTATTGGAGTAGTAGATTTTGCAATATTTTGCTCTACTTTTGTAGGAATTGAGAGGGATTGCATGTGGTTTATATCCAAATCTTGCATGGATATGTCCTTCTCCACTTGGCTATCCTCTATGTCCATGTGTTGCATGGATGAGTTGGTATACGGGAGGGATTTTGCATGGTGAGTGCGAGTAGATTTACCTTTGTTTTTTAATTGGTTGTTAATATTAGAGGGGTAATTATTTTTACTAGAGTTAATGATTTTTTGGAGTTTCTTATTGGTTAGCGAGGGAGTTAAGTCCAAATCCATTTTGTTGGACAAGAGATTTAGGAGATTATTGGACTTAGCAGGTGAGACATGTTTTGGACACATGTAGTGTTACCCTTTATCTTGCCATGCAAATTAGGGGAGTTTTGATTTAAATTTTTTATTGATTTTTCCAAAACTATGTGCTCCAGAGGGTTATTGGATAAACCACCTTCCTTACCATTGGGTGGTTTTCCAGCGAGTTCATTTGCTACTGATGTTTCAACATCACATTGGTCACTTTGGACAGTAGGGTAAGCTGCATTAGGGTTAGTGAGCAATTGCTTATTAACATAGCTCATAGGTTGAGTATTTAAATACTTACCTGACAAGGCATCATACATGCGAACTTTAATACCTGGTGCAACAGAAGAACTCGCCTTGTCCATGGACTGATTGGCTGTCTTTGATTTGTTTTTCCTGGGGAAAGAGACTGTCATCCACTCATGTGTAGTTTCTTCCTTAGGTTATGGTGCCTCCTTTGGTAATGGACCTTTATTATGGCCGCTTGTTAGAATCGTATAGGGGGCAGATTCTGCTTGAGTGCCCCAGCCTTCCATAGACTTTGCACAAAAAACCTTCTCCTTCATAGAGTATAGGTTGTTTGTGGTGGCCAATCATGATAAAATTTTGTACTGGCTGATCCAGCGGTAATTCCACACAAAGTCTCGCATATCTTCCCCTTAATGTGGCTGATGTGCATGCATCCACTTTTAGCAGTTTACCATTGCAGTTTCCAATTTTTGTTAGGATTATGCCATCATAAAATTCTGTGAGGAGTTGTGGTAATCTTATCCAAACGGCGGTATAATTTTGGTATGCATTTGTGGCTACAAAATTAGGCACCCATTTTTGCACTGATAGGAAAAAGCCATTGATGAACCAAGGTCCATCATGTAGTATTCTAGTCATGCTTTCCTTTTTGGTCAATTTGATCGTGCAGTAATCTTCCCCTAGATATATTAGAGGGTAGTTTTCATCTACCTTCCATAGTTCTTGGGTTTTCCTCTTTAAGTAATGGTGAACTAGCCGTTTGCCTATGAGTTTGATGATGAGTGAGTACTTCCAAGGATTGTACATTCTTTCTCTATCATCCTCAGTTAGTATGATGTGCTTTATGTTTTGGGACAAAACCTCCAGGGCAGTGGCTTCCAAATCAGTTGATTGGATATCCATAGTAGTTGATGGGAATCTTGGTATTGATTGGGAGGCAATGGTAAAGATTTCCCCTTGAATTAGTTTATCTTTGTAAGAGTGAGTAGGATTGATTGTTGGTGAAATTTTATCAGGGGATTTGGGAGGAATTTGATGTGGATTCCCTGAGTGTTAGTGTAGTGAGATGTTGCGAGTATTTAATATTAACATATTTTGCCATATACAACACTGACTATTTTTCGATTGTCAGTCCGAAAACTGGCTAGCTCATGCTATTTTTAATTTTATCATCCCTACATATAACGATTATTGCACTGAGAGTGAAATTGTAATGATGTCTTTTTTCCTAGGAGCAATACAACGAAGTAGAACATTTATCTAAAACGAAAGCTACATCGATTATGACACGAAATTTAATTAGATCATAGCAGCATGAGAAACTAAACTCGAAACATGGGTGAGTTAAATGATTTCTTACAATAGTACAGGGATAATAATGACCTTTTTTCCTAAATTATTTACGGCATAAATCAATTGTTGCTGTCGTATTAGCATTTTACTTTTTAAAATTTAAAGACTTTGTAAATGTTTTATTTTCAAGTTTCTCTGCGTATCTCTTGAGAAGATTGAAAATTCACGATTAGCAAATCAGTAAAACAATTCATTAGGAAGTAAAAAAAAATGATGTTTACGTGGCATTTCTTTTAGATCAGTAAATTTATTTATTTCTCACTTTTTTGTTTTCTCCCTCATTTTCCGTCTACAGTAGTTTGAACATGCCAACAGTCACCAAGTATAGTTATCATAAAAATTAGTTGCAACAGTAAATATTATTTATGAACACTGTCCTTGTAAAACTACAAAGCGATTGGAAATGCTTTTACTCATTTGGTTTTGTCGTTTTGCTCTATTTTATTCTTATACAATTGGTTTTCAATTCTTTTTCTTATNCAAGGAGTGACAAAAATACATGTAAGAGATAACTCTGGACGAGGGAAACTGAAAAGAAGATTTTACTGAAATCAAATATTACCATGAATATTTTTATATCATACCTCATTAGTTCCACTTTATGTCAATTTATCATTTTTAATTTGTACTAATAAAAAGAATTGCACATCTTTCAATATTTAGAATGTTTTTTACTTAAATTTCAATTCTATCCTTAATAATAAGACACAAGATGTAAGATAAAAGTATTCCTTTTTTTCTTAAATTATGCGTCAAGTCAAACATAACCATGTAAAATAAAACAAAACAAAGTGTCACCAATATACAAGTGACGCGGAGACTTAGCTAGGAATATTTACATTAGCTAGTAATTACTAAGGGGAATGCTAGCCAGATATCCCAATGCTCAAAAAGGCTGTCGAAGTACGTTCAACAGTTTGTTTTCAACTGACTTTGGATTAACATCTATATAGCTACTACGCTATGACAGTGAATTTCAAAAACTAGAATATACTGGAGGAATGAATCCTCTACATTGGTGATGCGTAGATCCTTACTTAAAACCTTCAGTGATCAATTGGCTTTGCGCACAGTAACATCAGCTTCAATTATGACAGTATCATCCATAATATAACCTTTTCCAGGATGACATAGCTCACTAAGAAGCATGAATGATGTGAAACCCCAGTCCCTCTCTCTTTCGTTAAATTGGTTCTTAACCGTACTTCATTGACCACTAGTCACACCCTTGAGCGCGAGAAGCTTACTATTCTAGTGAAAGACTAGAGATAATAGCTGCCTAACACATTATACCAAGACAAAAAGGCAGTGGGACTATCCTCACTTTCCCGAAGTCCCTCCCGTAAGGGAAGAAAACAAAGAAAGCCATCAGGCAAACCAATCCGGTGGCTACAGATTTTGAAATTTAAGGGGGGAAAAAGAACTAAGAAAACTGAGCAGGCAAGAAGAATAGTCTCTTGCTTTAATCCGTAAGTTGGATGCAGAAGGAGATGTAGATATCCTACATGGGACTACCATATATGAGAGACTCAGCGAATTCATAAAAAAATAGTATTATATTCCACCGTATCGCCGGGACAAAGCAGAAAAACAACCTTACTTCTGCAGCCCAAACTGGTTATATCAGCATATCAATAGTGAATAGGTTCAGCTCCTTAAACGCCGGCAAGGCTCCGAGGATAATTCAGGCCCACCGTCGCAGCAAACAGAAGCCTTTAGAGGAATATACTATCCCTCCTGCTACTTGTGGAGCCTTTGTGTTCTTTCTCATTTGACTGCTCAACTTCTACTTCATGAATATATTATTCTTTATGGATTAGTTATAAAAGTAGAAAGCTCAGCATTAATTCTGTCTCTGTGCCTTTTTCACTGCTTCACAATGGCTCCTAGGTGCATGGTGAGATTTCCATTCCAGTAAACTAATGGTGTCATGATTAAACTTAAAAAACACAAAAAGTGCTCACTTTTGCTAAACTTAAAGAACTAAATATGTTCAGTGGTATATTTAATAGACGTCTTTAGATCTACACTCGAACATAAGGGACCATTTATGTTATTATCTCTAAGAAAATATATATATAAGTACATTAGAAGATGTTGTCTATAAAAGCTCAACATATGACTGGTACAGAGTCTTTGAGGTTTTTCTAAGGTTTTGTCCAAGATGGGCACGGCCTTTGAGGGGTTAGAGGATGATTTTTGTACATTTGAGGAATAGCCTCTTATTATTAGTTAGCTTTTGGTGCACACATAAAGTTCTTGCGTATAGAAGATTGGGTAACATTTTCAGGAACATACTATTCTGTAGGTTCTCTACTTATTGGTATACGTCCGGTACACGGGAGCTTTTTCCATATTTTTTAACTAGTTTTTCCCACATTCATTTTTAAAAAAAGTTACCTTACCGGGAAAAAGATGACTCGTACAGGCCGACAAGATTCAATTTAATGGACAGATCTTTCCAGAATCAATTAGACATACCAGTATTAAAGAGGCCTTTTAGACAATACTACAGGTTAAAAAATAATGATAAAGGTGATCCCAATATGGCTTTCAGCAAAACAAGCAAAAGGAACTCATGGAGAATTAGCATCACAATGTTGAAGCATGTTGGCAGAAGAATTGAGCAATAAAACATTTATGAATCCACATCATTGTTGGAGCACTAATGAAAATCAACAGCCCAATGAAAACCTAGATGGCGTGTTTTATTATTAACAGTCAAATCTCAAAACGATAATACATGGGTGGAAGTTCATTTATTAATTAGTTCCTTACGGATGAAAGAAAAATCAAACATACGCACAGAATACTTCCTGAAATAAGCTATCCAGAAAAGTCTAAAGTTTGATGATTACTCTCCACAGCTGACTACGAGGGTGTTTGGATTCGCTTTTAAGCTGGTAAAATCAGGTTTTAAGTTCTTTTTAGTTTTTCTTGGTATTTGGCAAAGTTAAAAAGTGCTTAACATAAATTTAAAACTGCTTAAAACAAGCCAAAAGTAATATATCGGGCAACCCCAACTTTTTGTTTTTTGCCTTAAAAGCTATTTCCGCTGAAAAGCCACTCTTTTTAAGTCAATCCAATGGCCTATGACGAAAAACAGAAAAAATCTAACGCAACAAAACCTTATTCAAATGGCTTAAAACATGCAGTTGTTAGAAAACCAATAGATGTTCCCTCATTTTATTAATTCATGCACAAAATTCATATCTTTTATACACAAGTGAGATCTCTGACCTTTTCTCACTGTGAACTTGTTCTGAAGTTGATTGTGAACAGCTAAGCTAAACTGAGCATATCTACTCCACCCGGAAGGCAAGCTTTGCGTAGATTGATAAACAGTCTACAGTGTTCCCTTTTGGGAATATCAATATCCTCCTGCCAGCCACAATGCACCATATAGTACATCAATATCATATCCCCATTAAATTTTGTCGCAATCCACTAAAAAGGGGGATGTTGAAAGAAATTACCATTTATATCCTCCTACATTAAAAACATCAGAGTACCACTTCTTCACCTTCAACCTTGAAAATTTCTTGATAGTCCATGTGAACCGGACTGACACAGGATCATCCACCGCCTGTACATCAACCACACTTGCTGTGCCCGCTGGTGCAACCGCCAAAAATTAAAGCGTGCAAAATTTAGGAAAGATAGAGAAAAGATACAATATCAGTCAAGCAACCAACTACTCAATCCCAAACTTGCTGGAGTCGTCGGTATGAATCCTCTACATATTTTGCTTAATTCGGGTCCATTTCATTCTAATATTGGTAATGTGCAAATTGCACATACTACAATTCAATTGACGTAAAGATAGATATATTAAACTAGTGGAGTAAGGAAACTGTTTCAATTTAAATCACATACTTTTCTTATTAATCTGTTCCAAAAAGAATGATATGCTTCTATAGTTGGAAACAATTTAACTTTAAACTTTTCATACTTTATCCTTAATGAGAAGCTTTTATAGCCACACAAATATCATGACCCCACAAAACTTTTGTCCCTTAAGATTTTATGACCACATGTTTCAAAAATCTTTTTTTTCTTAAATTTCGTGTCAAGTCAAACTACATCTAAATTTAAATGGAGGGAGTACCAAAAAATAAATGAGACAAACACATACATTATTACTCAATATAAGTGTGTGTGAGAGAGAAAGCTTGTGTGCATATTGTAAAAGTAGGTGAGTTACCTTCTATAGGCCGAGGTCTCTTAGTAGGAAAGCCGCAACTAGGAACATTCATTTCCTGCTCTTTCGACTACCAAAGACGAAGCAAAGTAATAAAATTCGATCCAACAAAGATGGACAATTTTGATTATCTTTCGCATTTAAAGAGAGAATTTAGGTAAAGTTTACACCACAGTAGCATCATATTATTAAACTCAGCAATATTCATCCAAGGATCAATTTTTTTTTTTTTTTTTGGGAACTCCATCCAGCAAAGCACCTTTGAACAAAAAGAGTAAAACTATAAAATAAGTGATTAATTGAGCAAGTCAATGGATTAAATTTGGCACCATGGCATTTTAGAGAAATTTAAATCAATTTTCACACAATCACAGGGTTAAGCTATTTTAAACCCAAAAACAAAAATACTGTGAACAGAGTAAAACTGTAAAAACAAAGTAAATTCACACAGCAATACAGCTAAAAAATTCAGTCACTATCATATTTTAAAGAAACTTTAGGCCAATTTCACACCGCAAGCACAGTGGAGTATATTCAGCACCTATATATAAATAAACAATCAATTATTTTAGAAACTACACCAACCAAACTACTTTAAACAAAAAAGAGTACGGGAAACAGAGCAAAGCTGTAAAAGCAAAGTGAGCAAAAATTACAGAGAGATGGAGAGGAAGATTACATCTATCAAAAGAGGAGCGAGGAGAGTGATTAGCGGAGAACAGTGACCGTCCAATTGGCAGTGAATATGAGATCTTCCGTAATTGAGAATTTAATGTATGTGAGAGGAATGTAAATGTTTGGCATGATGTATCAAAGAACTTTGTTAGAATCCAAGTTTTTGTGTGACAAGGAAAGGGGGGAGGATTGTTGTTAATTTTATTGTAATCGAATATGTGTCTATTTCAAAACATCTCTGTCTCATTGATAGACGTTCCTAGAGTATTAACAGTTGATATTCTGTGTGATAGGATACTGGAACCTTTTACCTTAGCTAGAGATTTTGTGTTCAAGCTTTCCAAATTGAGAACCTTTAGATAAAGAGTGTTTTACCTCTTGAGGGGTCTACCTGACATGAACCTGAATTAGTCAACTGTGTGAATTTCAAATACTGGTATACACAAAAAATATTGTTAAAATTTTTTATTTTTTTCCATGGATGCTTAAATATCTTCGTTGTATTTATCCAATACTCCTATTATTTATTTTTTGGTCATTAGGTTAAAAGTTGTATTCTATATCAGTGTCATCCGCGTTTCTATAAATTTGCATTTAAAACACAGATTTTAAAAGAAATGGAAAAGATTTACTTGCTAAAGGGAAGCGTTCTTGTGTTGAGAATGATTATGAATTTAACACCAGTCTAGAGTTTGTTTGAATTGCTTGATGTTGTTGACGGCTGTAATGTGGATGGACCAGTAACAAGTGCTATTGCTGGACCAATCACAACTCGAATGATATGATCTTGATTTCCTTAAATAAAATGTGATATTCTAATCTCACCGTAAGGATTTCTTATCAACATCCAAGTATACTTTAGTAATACCAACATAGTGATGTATTAGCATTGATTTACTAAAAAGCAATTGATTTATCATTTTCACACAAACTTCACAAAAGAATACCTATAAACCCTTATCTTTGAATTCCTCCTCCATAATTATCACAGATTGGCATGGATTGCTATACTTCTCGTTGCCTTTACTTTGTGTCAACTTCTGTTGTTGTATGCCTTCCTATTTATGAGGCCAGTTGCCAAAGCATACACTACTACTAGAATTTATCTAATTTCGTATGGTCAAAGATCTGTCGGAAAACCGACAAAATTCCAACGACAAGAAATACTACGTTGCCGATGGAAGTCCTCGGAATCCACCAGAAGACTTGTGGCGCCAGTTTGAGGGAAAATCTTAGCGCAACTTTTTCAGGCGGCTAGCCGATGGACATTTATTAAATACATAAATTATCTATTGTTTTAAACCGTCCAAAATGTATAAAAATATAATAACTTTTGGATGGCTAGCCACATCATACTTACTGAGATAAGTGTTTTCCGACGGGGACTCTTTAAAATTCCAACGAATAGCCGTCCGAAACGTCTTATAAACTCCCCGAGTCCCCTTTCTTCCCCATTTTTTCTCTCTAACCCTTACTCCCCTTTTACTCTCTTCCAAGAAACATTTTGTCGGACATTCAAGAGCTTCCACCAACCACCATCTTTTCCAGCCAATCACTACTCTCCCAGCCGTTCAATAGCCGGACTTCCTCACTGAGAAACGAAATTCTGGTGGAGCTCTCGATCTCGCAGGTGATTCATGGCCTCCTGCTTCGGCATATGCTGCTGTGTTTCGTCATTTAAAAATGCTCCGGCAGTTAAGCTCCACATTTTTACATGTCTTTAATCTGTCTCTTTCTCTTGACTTCGTTGCTTGCTGGGTTTACTTGTTTGATTAAGTCAAAGTGAGGAAAATAAGCACAGAAGGCGTACTACCAAAGATATAGCCATCATCAAAATCTATTGCATTGCTGTAACATTCTTTCATACTCCAATGACAATATCACAATAAGAGTGTGCCACACGTTCCTGATTGTGCACGTACTTCAAAAATGAAGGAACATCAGGAAAGCGATATTGTTCACTGCAGTGATTTCGAAGGGATTTCTGAAAGCAAATTATATCCCATCTCCTATCTGCAAAGCCAGAGCATTGTACTCGAAGGGATTGCTTGCTGGTAGCCTACCTTTTCCTGTAACAAAAGTTTTGTTCTTTTGATTCGCCTTTTCTTTTGTATTACATTTACTTTCACAATGTGTGCAGATTTTGTTCTCAGGAAGTTTGATGTACTTGCTTTTGGGATCCCACTTAGGTGCAAGAGTCCCATAGCTAAGTCCTCTCTTGTTGCTACTATGGTGTTCTTGTAACCATGATAGTGCATAAGATGACTTATTCCACTTGCTAGTTCTGTCTAGTTCATGCTTAACCTTGCCTAGATCTTCTTTTAGGGCTCTTATCTGCCCATCCTTTTTGTACAACTTATCTTTCATTTTTCCTAGATTTTCTTTAAGGTGAGATGTATGTGATTAGCTTTCTTTTTACCTATTCCTAATTTCAGTTTTAAATTTTCAAATTTAAGCTCTAACGCAGTGGTGTCAAGAACCTGGTTCTTCAACTCAGCATTTTTACTATCACTTTTACTAGCCCTGAGTTCCAGATTTTTGCACTTAGCTTTCAAGATTACACATTCCTTAAACACTTGTTCCTTTTCATTGTTTATGACCTCAGATTTATCAATGAAATGTAACTCAGATAGCCTTTCTTTAGACAAAAATTTAATCTTGTCTTTGAGATGAATCACGATTGCCTCTGGTTCATCATCTGATTCTCCAATGGCCTTAAGTGCTTATTCATCTCCATCTTCATATTCTGAATTCTCATCTAAGCTTTCTCCCCAAGCAACAACCATAGCCTTTGTTGATCCTTTGTTCTTCTTGGGATGAACCTGTTCCTTCTTCCTGTTTCTTCGTTCAACCCTTTCTTTCTTTCATTCAATTTCCCATTGAGGACAGTTTTTGATCATGTGGTCAGGCTTACCACATTTGTAACACCCCTCGTTGGTCTGTTTTTCAGGGACCCTTGGTTTGTTGTAAGTTGCACCTCTTGAAGAACCCTTTCCTCTCATTAGATATTTCTTGAAATCCCTCGTGATCATAGCCATTTCATCCTCCTCTAGATCTGCACCTTCAGCAATTTTGAGAGCCAGGTTTCTTTCCTTCTTGGGTGCATCCATCTTCATGGTTTGCCTTCTAAGTTCATAGGCATTGATATTTTCAATTAACTCGTCCAACTTGAGAGTAGCAATGTTCTTTGATTCCTGAATAGCAGTGATTTTGCTTTCCCAAGTAACTGGCAAAACCCTTGTCAGAATTTTCTCAACCTTGTCTTATTCAAGGATAATCCTTCCAAGAGACTTAAGTTCATTTGTTAGCGTTGTGAACCTTGTATACATTTCTTGGATGGTTTCTCCTTCCTTCATGGTAAAATTCTCATATTGAGAGTACATCAGTGTTCCTCTTGATCTCTTCACTTGAAGAGTTCCTTCGTGAGCCACTTGCAAAGTGTCCCAAATTTCCTAAGCAGTAGTACAACTTTGAATTCTACTGTACTCGTCTGGACCAAGTCCATACACAAGCCATTTCTTGGCTTTAGCATTCTTTTCCCACTTTTTCAAGTCCTCAGCATTGCAATCAGCTCTATTTTTAGAACTTATTTTTCTCTTTTTAGGTTCAGGCAAAAGAACTTTACCAAGGCACCCCACACTTTTAAATATTTCAAGTTAGATTTATAACTCTTTCATAATTTATAAGGAGTTTTTCCAGTTCTTCTATGTGGTATTCTATTTTGTAAGTGATATGCAGATAATATAACTTCACCCCACAAATTATCACGTGCATTAGAACTAACTAACATGGAGTTTATCATCTCTTTCAATGTTCTGTTTTTCCTTTTAGCAGCTTCATTAGACCCAGGTGAATAAGGCGGAGTTACTTCATGGATAGTTCCATTCTTTTTAATAAAAAGTATTTAAAGAAAACTATTTTCTACCTTTATCAGATCTAATTCTTTTGATTTTTTTACTGAGTTGATTTTCAACCTCAATTTTATAAGAAATAAAAGCATTAAAGGTATCATTTTTGTTTCTACGTAAATACAACTTAGTATATCTGAAAAGATCATCAACAAAAGTCACATAATATCTTTTACCACCTCTAGTCATAATCTGCTTTAAATCGCCTAAATCAATATGAATCAAGGATAATAATTCAGTTTCTCTATTTAGAGGAAAATAAGTCTTTTTAGTGCTTTTAGCTTCAGCACATATTTCACACTTATCAATAGTATTTGAGTCTAAACCATATATTAATCCTACTAACTGTATTTTCTTTATATAAGCGACATTAACATGTCCTAGTCTAGCATACCATAAAGAAATAGACTCAACCATATAAGAAGGAAATACATTTTCATTGCTAATATCAGAAATATTAAGCACAAATAAGTCATGATTGTAATATCCACTGCCCACAAAAATATTATTTTTGGTCAATACGACCTCGTTATTTTCAAAGGAAACTTTCACTCTAACTTTTCCTAATAATTCCACTGAAACCAAATTGGTTTGGATAATAAGAACATGCGACACATTACTCAATACTAGAGTTTCACCAGATGTGAGTTTGAGAAGAATTTTTCCTTTCCCAATAATGCAAGTTGTTCTTGAGTCACCAAGATGAATAGTTTTTTCTCCTTCCTCAACTTGGGTGTAACACAAAAATTCATTTTTGTTTGCACAAATGTGCCTAATAGCGCCAAAATCTATCACTCAATCTCTCACATTTGTCACATTATTTATTTAGAAAATAATGTGCCTAGTAGCGCCAAAAATTCATTCTTGTCAAATACAAAATTTAATAAAATACTTTTTAGAAAAAATAAAAAAAATATTTTTCTGGCTACGGATTTATGGAACCCCACTTTAGCGGGGACTAATTCAACTACTTGCTTACTTTTAGGATTTTTTTTTCCTCTACTACGCTTGCTTAGATTGGACTCCTTTCTATCTATTTTAAATCCTCAGCCTTTTTCTTTGTAGTAAGAAATCACCTTGTCTATTCTTATAGAGTTCAGTTTAGTGCTTATTACTTGGTTGGAGAGGAACCTTGCAACATAAGAGTTGACTCTTCCTTTCCTATGTTTTTAGTAGACTAAGACACAGACTAATGTTATGAGAAGGATCAGTAATTTCATTTAAAAAATAATATATTAAAACCAATCTGCTAAAAGTGAAATCTTTATATCATATGTGAGAAAAGAAAAAATAGAAGTAAAAAGAATGGTGATAAATAAATTATAACAATCTGAATGGTAACATGTGCCGATAAACTCCAATACTAACATTGTTGACATATTCCAATTAAAGATCATAAGTTTCTCCTTCATCTTGTAGTTCTTAAATAACCAACAACAAGAAGCAAGTTAATATGGCTCAATCTTACATGTTCACAGTAGTCTTCCTTGCCTAATTCGTCCATAATTAACTAAAAAATAATAGTGATAATAAAGTATTTAATCATGGTATAAATAGCTAAAAGAATAGCGTACGATTTTAATATTTTCATAATGAATAATACTTTTCAAGTAACAAGTATCCATATTCTTATGTCAACACTATAAACAATTGGTGTATTACGTGCGAGGCACGTACATAGAGACTAGTATTATTATAAAAGCACGAATAATAAAACGTTAAATGTTGAATGACAAAAATATCCTTTAAATATTGACCGACTTTTAAGCCCTTTAGAACTAAATAATTCTTTCATATAATAATTCCATATTGAATAAAATTGTAAAAGCAAAAAATCATTACTTTGCTTTGGAGA